AGAGAGAGAGAGAGAGAGAGAGAGAGAGAGAGAGAGAGAAAGAGAGAGCGGGAGGGAGGGAGGGAGGGAAACAAGATCCCTGAGAACCAGGGAAAAATGTGACAGGGAAATTAAAAGTTATGGAGAGATTGAAGAGCTAGAACACAACACAGAGAAGAAAGGGACAGTCTGCACCCCATTCCCCGCTCCTGACTTATAGCTCACAGGAAACAGAGATCAAATCTACAGAGACAAAGTGAAACCTGGGGACTGCAAAAGGCTTTAGGGAAATATGAAGGACTGTAATGGACTGGTGGGTGCCTGCGCTGCAGAGAGAGCATGGGATTCTGCTCTTATGTGAGTCCTTCAACAGCCAACAGCTGGTGAGTGACTCCAGTCCAAGCACCTGCCATATCTGTGGTGACAGTATTTGGTCAGGTGTTGTCTTGGCTACTTTTTCTCCTGTTGCTGAGACAAAATACCCAATACCCCAAATTAAGGAAGGACAGGTTTATTTAGCTCACAGTTTGTGGAGGTTTCAGTCCATAGTCATCTAGCTCCAATGCAGGGTGGCATGGCACAGGGGCAACAGTTCAAGGTGGCAGAAGATAGCAAAACCAAGAAGAGCAAAAGGGAGGGCAAGCCTCTTTTCTTCCCTTATATTGTAAGCAGACTACCTTCACAGAGAGGGTGTGTGTGGCACTCACACGATCTCCATGCCTTCCTCTTGCACAGGTTCAGGATATTTACAAAGTAAGAAGCCTGGCTCCCTGCTGGGTCACTTAGTTAAACTTCTAAATCATCAAGTTGACACAGTGTATCAACGATTACAATCCACCCTTTGTCAACTTGGCAACCAGGCACATTTCTTTAAACTGGTTTCCAGACACAAAGACATGCTTATTCTTAACATTTCACAATTTGAACGTTATAATAGAGGTGTAACAGTCCTTAAGAACTAGTATGAAGTCTACCAATATTATATTACATTAGAACCATAACATTCTTCCCCTAGTCCCCTAAAGACAAATGTACATCCCTTTATGCAAAAGTCCAAGTCCCAAGTCTACTTCAGATTTAAGGTAAACTCTTAGCTGCAAGCCTCTGTACAAATGAAAACAAAATTAAATATTTCCAACATTCAATGGCACAGATAAACATTTTCATTCCAAAAGTTGCAAACGAAGGATTGGGACTAAAGCAAGTCCAAAGTCCAGCAGCAACCTGTGGCAAGTTGTGAGCTCCAAAGGGCCTGAGTGACTCCACCCCTACGGCATTTCTGGCACTTATAGCTCCCACTACTTCTCTCTCCTAGGAACACTTTGCTCCCTCCTTGCAGCTTTCCTTAAATGATCCATGTTCCTGGATTTTCCAAACTTCTGGGGTCTTCACTGCACCTTTGGCTTCTCTCTCACAGCTTCACACACTGCCCTCTCAGGGATACACTTCCTAGCCTCTCAGGCCTTCTGAAATTGGGGTGGAAGCCTTTTAAAGCCTATAACTCTTGCATTCTGCATGTGCCTAAAACCAGCACTACATGGATGATGCCAAGGTCTGCTGCCAGTTGGAACAATAGCCAGGTTTTCCTCTCTCTTGGCTGTAGGGGTCTAGTACCTGAATCTCTGGGTACTGTGAATCTAATTTTGAGGAGCAAATTTTCTATGTTGCTGCTATTCTGTGATGTGGTGCAGCTGCCACCATTCTGGAACACGATACTCTGTGGCTTTCTTCTCAAAGCGAAGTCTTTTGCTTTCGCAGCTTTGAGGCTGCAAAGGATGGAGACTTGCTGCTTCTTGTGATGCCCTCAGATCATTTTTATTTTACCTTGTTCCTTATCAGCAATTGAGATCTCCTCAGCAGTTGAGATCTCCTCAGCTCTGTCTTTATAGTCCACAGCTTTACTGAAGCTTCTTTTCTGGCCAAACTCACAATGTTTTAAATCATCTTGCTGGGCTCTTTGCTCTTGATTTGCAACATAAATCTGGCTAAAAGCCCCCAATGACAGCCACGCTACAGCCTCAACATTTGGTTCCCTTAAAATTTCTTCTGCCAGATTAGTCCATTGCTTTTAATCTCAGTTTCAGGCAAAGTTTCTGGCATGGGCAAAAGGCAAACTTCCTGCCAAGCCATAACATATATTTTCTGGAGTCCAACCACCAATGTAGTCCTTCTTTCCATCAGAAACCTCCCCAGCCTGGTCTTTATCAGCAGGATTTGTATCAGCCTCTGGTCTTCTGAGCTTTGACCAGAATCTCCCACACAGAACAGCCTGAGGTGTTCCAGCTCTTCTGTTTCAGGCAACATCTCTGAACCTTTCCAAACTTCCCACAAGCCATTCCCAAGGGCCTCTTGAACCACATGGTCAGGTATAGTCACAGTAATGCCCCCATTTCCGCTACCAAATTCTGTTTTGGTTACTTTCTGTCATTGTTGAGACAAAATACCTGGCATTCAAAATTAAGGAAGGAAAGGCTTATTTTGCTCACAGTTTATGGAGGTTTCAGTCCATAATCAGTTGGCTCTAAGGCAGGGTGGCACAGCACAGGGGAAACACTTCAAGGCAGAAGACAGCAAACTCAAGAAAGGTAAAAGGGAGGGGGAACAAGCTTCTTTTCCTCCCTTATATTGTAAGCAGACTACCCCCACCCGGTGGGAGGTGTAGCACTCACACAATCTCCATGCCCTCTTCTTGCACAGGATGAGGATGTTTGCAAAATAAGTCCCCTGGCTCCCTGCTGAGTTACTTACTTAAACTTCTAAACTTCTCAAGTTGACGTAGTGTATCAACCATTACAGACCTACTACTTTACCTTTTGCTGATAGTGGGCCTGTTTACATACTAACATGTGTTCTATTTTTGAATATCAACAGAGTAGAAATCAGCCTCTTAAAAGTCTGT